ACGTTTTGACTCAAGAAAATTGTTTGGGAGTCAGTGGCTTTAACGGTGTTCAAGAAAGCCATTTAGCTGAGTCCTGCAGCCAGCAGCAGGATTGAGGCCTGCTCATTCCTAAGTTTGCAGGGTAAACACAAACTGGCCAGGTCCTTGGGTGAATTTACTCTTGTTACCCTCAAGTATCTATTTGTTTTAAAGCGTCTTCGCCTTGCCTTTCTTAACTATTCTATCCAAGCAGATTACAATAAAGCTCAGCAATTTGGTCTCCTTCCAATCCAATGGCCAGCAAAACTGTAAAACAGGGACCAAAAGCCTCCACTTGGACATAGTGTAAAGACAATGACGTCAGAAACCACGATGCCGTAAGAGGAACTGCTTTTCTGGGATTAGCCCAAGGCCTGCTGTTACCCCAGAATGGTAGGTGGGAGGGAGAGGAGATATTGAGAAGATCAACATGGCATGTGTGGAAAGAGAATCCCTTTTGAGCCAAATTTCTCTAGGATCAGAGGAGTCAAAAAACTTCAGGAGGACTGAGGCCATCGTGTTTTTATTCCACCTGCTGTGGATCCCACTTTAATTAGTACTGCTGGGTGAGTTGGCAACCTGGGTAAGATGTTGTCTGGAGCCAACCCTCATCCCTTCTCCATGCTTTCCCCCCAGACTGTCTTCACCCAGTGCTTTGCACTTGGGTGAAGTTTGCAGTTTCTTTTATTAACTGGCAGGCTGAAAGTGCTACTCATATCTACAGTGTTTCCCCGAAAATAAGACCCTGTCTTATATTTTTTTGAACCCCGAAATAAGCGCTTGGCCTTATTTTCGGGGAGATCTTATTATTTTGGGGCACGTGGAACAAGATGGGGCTCCTCTTGCCATCTTACCTGATTTCCAGCTCTGCGTTTAAATATTTTCGGGGAGGGCTTATTTTCAGGGGGAGGCTTATTTTAGCATATGCGCTCAAAAGCCCGATTGGGCTTATTATCAGGGGATGTCTTATTTTTGGGGAAACAGGGTACCTAAACATATTATGAAAGGGAGGCTGATTCTCCTGTTGCATAATAGGAGAGAATAAAGAGGAAAAGATTTTTGAGGCATAAGAAATTTCCTCCTGCGTTCAAGTGTACAGATAGTCCATGACTATCAATAATTCGTTTAACAACCATTCAGAGATACTGAAGAAAAGTCAATCCTTTGTCTCATGGCCATCACAGCATTTCTATGGTCACGAGATCAAAATTCGGGCACTTGGCAACCAACTTGCATTGGTTAATCTGCCTTGCCGTGAAGCATGCTTTTTAAAGCGTTTCAGCTCCAGGGGCGGGCGGAGAAAAGGGCACGAAAAAACCCCAACCATCTTTGAAATCCAGGCCGATGCCTTTGCTCCTGGCAAGGGGGAAAATATGCATTTTGCTCTCTAACACAACACCGGATAGCTTTTCCATGAAAACACCTTGACTCACCCCCTCCTTCACCCTCCCTCCTGACCCAGCATCACTGTTTCCGAAGAGACCTTTTCTTTCCTTACCTCATGGTGAAGGCGCCGGGATGACTCTCTTGCAGGAAAGGAATTCCCTAACCTAACAATCCTTCTCTCTCTGCCCTGCCTGTCCAGCAGACATATGTTCAGAAGCGCTGCCAGATGTTTTTGAGGGGCACCTCTAGGCCATTCCTGAGTTCCCTCCACATCCCAGGCAGGCCGTTTTCACACCTAGCCTAACCCTCAGAAAGTCCCCTGAAGGCCCCCCAACCTCCACAAACTGAACATAGACACCCTTAGTCTTAAAATGCTCCCTCTCTGTCTTGGCAGATGCTCTTCCAGTGAAATGCACCTCAGAGAGAAGCAGGATTTGGGGTGAGGGTGGGATGGGATGGGGGGGGGTTCTTGCTTAAGTTTAGAAAACTATGAAAAGTCATCAGTTTCACATTACTGCAGTACAGGTAGTCCTCGACTTACAACTATTTGTTTAGTGACCGTTTGAAATTACAATGGCACTGAAAAAAGTAATGTAAGGCTTACACTTATGACCATCATAACCAGAGGTGGGTTTCAGCAGGTTCTGACCAGTTCTGGAGAACCGGTAGCGGAAATTTTGAGTAGTTCGGAGAACCGGTAGTAAAAATTCTGACTGGCTCCGCCCCGATCTATTCTCTGCCTCCCAAGTCCCAGCTAATCGGGAGGAAATGGGGATTTTGCAGTAACCTTCCCCTGGATTGGGACGGGAATGGAGATTTTATAGTATCCTTCCCCTGCCACGCCCACCAAGCCACGCCCACAGAACCGGTAGTAAAAAAAATTGAAACCAGTAGGGGTGGGCTCTACTTACCTTTACTACCAGTTCGCAATGAGAGCACGGGTGCGCGCGCACTTCTGCGCATGCGCTGATAGTCATTTATGACATCCGGGCGGGTGGGCAGAGCCTTCCGCCACTTTTACTACCGGTTCTACAGAAGCGGACAGAACCGGGAGCGACCCACCACTGATAACATCTCCACAATCACATGAATCAAAATTTGGGTACTTGGCAACGGGCATGTATTTATGACAATTGCAGCATCCCAGGATCATACTTGAGGCCTTCCCAGCTAGCTTCTGACAAACAAAGTCAGTAGGAGAAGCTAGATTTGCTTAATGACCGCATGATTCACTTAACAACCACATTGACTCACTTATCAACCATGGCAAAAAAAGTTATAAAATTGTGCATGACTCAATTAACAACCTTGCTTAGCAAAAAGGAATTCTGGACCCGATTGTGGTGGTAAATGAAGGCCTCCCTGTATGGTGTTACCTTTTGAAAGGATCATATAAGAGATTTTGTTCTTCCATTTTCTGGTCTTTTCACATTTCTTTACCTCATTTGCGATCAACCAACCTCAGTGTGACTGTGACCTATCTATAAAATGACATTAATAGGCAGCATTAACTTGGCTATTGTATTAAACCACAGTCTAGGTTTGCACCCTAAACTCACCAAAATGATCTCGGTTCACCCAGAGGGCAAAGCGACACGCAACCACATATTCAAGGCTAACTCTGTTAAGGTGTTGTGTGAATGGACCTGCTAAGACTGATTTGATTTGATGAAGGGTGTTGGGTGAACTTAGCCATAGAATACAGCAGTATCACAGGATTTATTTTGAGTAGACTTAATTAGGAGCTTAAAAAATTTTGAACCAGGAACTGGCTGCAGGGATTAGATCACCTCAAGGCCCCAGACAAACACACAAATATTTTAAAATATTCCTTGACACTTCTCTCTCACCAAGTGGAAGAAAGAGATCTTTTGAAGAAGGAATGTCGGTGCAGGGGTGGGGGTTAGATTCCAGGAGAAAAAATGTGTATAAACTAACATCAAATTCTGCAGGCACTATGTTAATCCATCAAAGTGTCAGAGAAAAGGACAGGACTAGAAAACAGTTTCATTTGACAAAAGCATACGGAGATGGGCCTTGATCCTTTAGCCTTAGAGGATGAAAGGGGCCTTAGATGAATGGAGAAGTACACATACAGGTCTATGCATTAAACCTACCTTGCAGATCCATTTTTAAGCCTAGGAGTGTCAGTCGGATAAAACACTAACCTTAGTCCATTATTTGTGGTTTACAAATAGTCCTCTACTTACAACCATAATTGAGACCGGAAAATTCAATGTTAAGCGATGCTAGCATTAAGTGAGACGTCACATGACTGAAACCTTTTTTCTGATGGTCGTTAAGCGAGACAACAAGTGGCTGACTCATGGCCTTCTGCTTGTTTCCACGTTGCATGTTGGAAGCCAACTGAGAAGGTTGCAATAATGTGACCCTGGGACTTTCAACTATCATAAATATCTGCCGATTGCCAAATATCCGAACCACAATAAGTTGACCACAGGGTGCCGTGATGGTCATAAGTGCAAGAACCGGTTGTAAGTCACTTTTTCAATGCCATTGTAACTTTAAGTAGTTGCTAAAGGAATGGTCGTAAGTTGAGAATTACCTGTATTCTGTTTTGCAAACTCACCACTCAGTGTAGCATGTAAAAATCAGAGCGGATTCAATCATGTTCATTCAGAATAAGCGTCTGGAGCAAACACAGCCAGCAATCCAAGGGCTGCAGAAGTGGAGGCATTGAAAATGAATGTCAACAGTCTTATGTCTATGGAGATTCTCAGTCATCCAGGTCATGGTTGTCTCAAAAGGGCTTTTTCAAAAGGCAACTGGACTTTCTCTGTTTTTGCTTGAAGAGGTTTCACTTCTCATCCAAGGAGCTTCTTCAGAACGGAGGACGTTTCTTGGATGAAAAGCAAAACGTCTTCAAGCAAAAAACAAAGAAAGTCCAGTAGCTTTTTGAAAAAGTAAGTTTAGGTCAACAAGTTTAGAAATCTGCCCCCAGCCAAAGATCTCTTCCCAAGCTTCTGGATAGTTCCTTATTTGTGAATTCTCTGACTTTAAGGATTCATGTTAAGCCATGAGAACCAGTCAAAAGTGAGTTAGCAGAGTCCAGAATAGTAAAATAAATAAATAAATGGAATCTCTTCAAGGTGCTAATCAGGATAGAGTTTTAAAATGTTTTCCAACTTTTAAAAGGAAGGTATGGATACCCTTCACAGAGGTATAGACATTCCTTTGTTCTCTTTCTCACACACTTCAAAGTCTAACTCTCAGGGAAAGAGGAGGCTGCCCCTTGTTCCCCGCTGAATCAGAAAAACAGATTTCCCCTATAAAAGAAATGAGCAAGAATTTACAAGTAAATTTCACACTCTCAAGAATTCAGAAATGGAAGTTTCCCATCACTCTACAAATGTTAATCAGCTCACCAATACAAGAAAGTCTGTGTCACACCCAACAATAGCTTCATGAATAGTCCCAATTTATGAGTCATTACCACTGACTGTCTCTCCTGTGGTTTATCCAGAGATGGTAGTCCCATATATACATACAGGTGATGTTTTGGAAAAGTTGGTTTTCAGCCACTGGCTTTCTAACCGCCATCCTTGGCCTCTCTCTCTCTCTCTTTTCCTTTGCAGACGGTGTGTGTCAGATTGTAGTGATGCTACTGAGTCTGTATGAAGGACTCTGGGCTGCACCTAACCCCAGACTAAAGCCCACAGACCCCCGGATGGAGTTTGATTCCATTATTGCCTTGACCAGAAACCTGCTAACTGATACCAAGACCCTCTCCAATCACTTTGTAAGTCCAGAAGCCTTCCCTATTAGAGTCCATTGGATATGATGATGATGATGATGCAAAGAAGCAGAAAAAAACCCAGTAAATCTTGTACTCAAGTCATGCAAGATTCCATACATTGATTATAAACCAACACAGTGACCAAAATGATTCACTGGAACATCTCTATAAAAATTATCATGTACCAATTATGAAAAATTGATGGGAACATCACTTGAAAAAATAGTAAAAAATGAACAGGTTAAAATATTGTGGGATTTCCTACTATAGACTTGGGTCTATAACCCAATATCTTGGGTCATAACACACCAGATTAAATATAACTGGTTAAGAGGAAGAAAGCATGGATAATTGATGTGGCAATACCAGGGAGTAGTAGAATCGAAGACAAAGAAGACTGGAAAGTATCAAGATCTGAAAATCGAAACTGAAAGACTATGGTATAAACTGGCTGTGATGAGCCCAGTGGTTATCAGCACGCTGGATGCCATACCAAAAACATCTTGGATGGCACTTAGACAATATGCAGGTTGACAAAATGTCCATCTGTCAATTGCAAAAGGCAACACAGCTTGGATCTGCAGATATGCTATGCTGATACATTATGACATCCTAAATTATGGGGAAGAATTCTACAGAACCATTTTTACAGAATAACAGAATTGGAAGGGACATGCTTGGAGGTCTTCTAATCCACACTCAATGCGTATGAAGACCAACACCAGTAAAGAAGTGGCAGTTGTGACTTCACATTGTTGTGAAGAGATAACAATAATAACAACAATGGAATAATAATAACAGTGGAAGCAGCCTTTATAAATATATAAAAATCTGGATAGTGGGCATTGCCGTACCTGGAGACAGCAGAAGAGAAGAGAAAGAATTTGAGACAATCACAAAATACAAATCCTGAAAATGGAAGCACAGTAGAACAACTATGACAAAAGAAAGCAAAAGTAGTACCAAATAATGATAGGCACCTTGGGTGCAATCCCAAAACATCTGGCACACCACTTTAACACCATCAGCATTGACAAACTCACCATCAGCCAATTGCAAAAGGCAGCTTTGCTTGGAACAGCTTCCATCCTGCGACGATTCTTCAAACACCATCAAACAACATCTGCCTATCCCAGCTCTTTGGGAAAGTCTCAATAGGTAGATGAAAATGCCAAATTCAGTGTAAACATCTGGCTGATTGTGCAATCAAACATAAGAAAGAATGTTGCCTTTTATAAAGGCAGGAAATTGTTCACAGAGCAGTAGAAAGGTAGACAGAGTTTGTTAAGACAGGGTAGTTTTTCTCAATTGTAGCAACTTGAAGGTAGGGTTAGGATTGAGAAATACTGAGGTACACAAAAAACTGCAGAGACTGTGTCTGGATTTTTTTTCAATATTTGCTTCTGTGCAACAAAAACCCTGTGCCTATGTGTGCTTGTGCATGCACACAACGAAACCCAGAGCAGGCTGCATATACTCTTGGATCATATGACCAGGGAATGGGTAGGCTTAGAATGGAGCAGTTGGTAGCATTCTGAGCCACTGCCCAGGTGCCTCTCCTATAGAGGTGCATTGGAGAGACATTTTCTGCATTGTTTTTCTCCCCTTCCTGTAGCCTTATTCAGCCTATTTTTGACTTCAATCTTTCTTTTGCTGGTTTTTCCCATCATACCAAATTTGGTGCCATTCTCTTCATTTTCCAGAGACTTGTTCTACTGATGGATCAGCAGGCAGATGTGTTAGGAAGAATAAGGAGAAAATGCCACTTAGCCTCTAATAAAAATCAGTTATGTTAGATCTGGAGGATGTTTGGGTTATTGTTTAAATTATGCTAAATTAGTCCTCCTTTTAAAAGTAGGGTCTCCTTTTCTTGCCTTCATTGCCTTCATAGTTCTCTCTCTTTGTGTTCCCTGTACAGAAGAAACACTTCCCAGCAGATGGTGAACACAAGCTTGAAACGCTGCCAGTTTTATCCATGAATGCTGTAGAACTTGCCAACATTCAGGTAAAAACAACTTCCATTTTTTTTCTGGTGCCTCTTTAAGATTCTTTGGGGCATTATAGCTTGTTTCCAGAAGCCGGTCTTTCCCAGTTTGATGCACTCTGACTGTGCTGGATGGAGTAATGTAGTCCAAAATATCTAGAGGGCATCAGTTTGGTTCATCTTCTGTCTGATTGGAATATAAGGATTTCAGTGAGAATTCTGATTTTCTCACCATGGTCCCTCCAAATATGTTGAATAATGGTTCTGTTTATGTTCCAAGTTGGGGTGAATTGTATTCCAACATAATTTTGGAAGCTCTGGAAAGCACTTGTAGAAAGTCCAGTGGGTGATAATTTCAGATGCTTCACAGCAGCTTTCTCTAACTAGACCAGGTGTGTCAAACTCAAGCCTGAGGACCAGATCTGGCCTGTGGGCTGCTTAAATCTGGCCTGCGGGGCCACCCTGAAAATTGGAAGGACTGGCCCACAATGCCTCTGCCAGTGAAAATGGAGCTCCGTGTGCAGCCCTCCCGAGCTCTGTTTTCGCTGGTAGAGGATTGCAGGAGGCCATCGCAGCCGAAAACGGAGCTCATGAGGGCCCCATGCAGTACTCCTGAGCTCCATTTTTGCTGGCAGAAGATTGTAGGAAGCCATCGCAGTTGAAAATGGAGCTTGGGAGCCCATTTTTTCTGGCAGAGCACTCAAGCCATAGACACCCTTGATATGAGTGATGTCAAGCTGGCTACACCCACCCTGGCCACGCCCACCCAAGGTCAAACACAACCCTGATGCGACCCCCAATGAAATTGAGTTTGACACCCCTGAACTAGACACTGTTCAGATATATGAACTTCAACTCCCAGAATTGCTCAAACAGCATGGCTATTGCTGAGAATTTGAGGAACCATGCTGGGAAAGGCTGCCTCATCATCATTCCACTTTTCTTTTCCTTTTGGTAACTTTTCCTTGGAGAACTTTCCCATTTTCTTTGGAGATTCAAATCAAACCAGTTGCTGTCCCATGTCCCTAACATCTCAGTTTCTCCATTGCGAGGCAAGAATAAGGCAGCGATATCATTCTCCTTCATAATTTCCGGTTTTCCCTTCCTCCAGGTTTCTGCAGGTCTAGTCCGGTTTGCCTCCGATTTTCAAAGCTACCAACGGCATTTTGAGTGGCTGAAAAAGTCAGCAACATGGCTGCGGCCCATGGAACATGATATTGGCACAGTGCACACTCGGCTTGAACGCCTCCTTAGAAGACTGGAACATCTGGTAAGGTTGGAATAAGTGTGCTCAGAACAATAATATCTGCGTTGCAAGCCTTGAGGCAGCCATCAGGTGGCAGCAAAGTATTCTGATTTTTCTGTATCATTTTGCTGCCATCTAGTGGTTTCCTGAATCTTTGCACTCCAGATATGCTAGCTCTAAATTAGCTGTATGATCATTGGGGACAGTTGTCTAAATTGAGTTCGCTATTCTTCCTGTGGACAATTCATCTCATACTTGTTGTTTTCCTCTCCAGATGACAAAACTCAATATCACAAGACCCAATGACGCTTTTCCAACCCTCCCAACCCATGGGACCCACTGGTCTGTTGTCCAGGCTGGACATGCCATTGTCCACTCATTTCACCTTTATTTAGACTGGGCAGCTCGAGTGCTGGTTTTGATCCGGAACAAGTTGTGAAAAACCAAGAAACAAAACTGTCCAGGATGTTTTGGAGATGTTCTTCATAGACCAGGAACTCTTAGCTGCATATCCCCTATGGAGGAGGGCTCAAAGAAGGAAAGAAAAGCAATGAGACTAGATTCCTCTTTTAGCAGGTGCAGTGGAGTGGGAAAAGAGAAGATTTGCCTACCCACTCATAACTTTTCCACATTGTGGGGATGTTGTGGAAGAAGAGACAGCTTTTTCGATTCCCTCAAAATGATCATCTTATCTTCTCCCTGCAGGCTTGGAAAAATAATTGGGGAAAGCATGCTACCCCCCCTTTCAAGGAAATTTTTAAACCCTCCTGCTCTCCATTGATAGAATATAACTCATTCGGACATGTGCATCGAACTGTGACAAATAGAGGGAAACCCATCTTGGAGGATATCATTTACGAATCCTTGCAGTATTATCCATAATAGTGATGGAATCCCTGTTTCAGACACAACTTTGGGGCCATTATTGATCTTGCCTGCAGGGACACAATCTATGTTGCCCTCCCAGTTTATGCTGGGAAGAGTGGTGTGAGGAGGAGCCATATGTCTAGGCTGATATGTACCCTGGTGCCTTTCTGACGTGCAGGTACATGTTGGTTGGGATTTGTGGAAGTTCTAATCTCAACATAAGCGGAGGGCATGAGGTTAGGGGTAGCTTTTCCATGGAAAGTCACTGCTATTCTGCTAATTGAGAATAACAATAGCACTAAGACTTATATACCGCTTCATAGTGCTTTACAGAGTTCCCCAATCTTTCTGGCGGGGTGGGTGGGTAGAGGGAGTAGTTCCAAGTGAACTATCAGCAAGCGCATGCATGCAGCTCCATTTGCATAAGCGGTGGGCACACCCCCTCACCGTTTGTGCAAATGAAGCGGGCACACACATGCTCGCCTTCTGCTTGCCCAAGTGGGGATGCGTGCGCACGTGCTTGTCCGCCGCTTCCACGGCCCAGTTCCGTACGGCTCACAGCCCAGTAGTATGTCGCAGCCAGGGGATTGGGGACCTCTGCTCTAAGTGGTTTACAGTGGCGGTATATTGTCCCCAACGATCTGGATCCTCATTTTACCAACCTTGGAAGGACGGATGCCTGAGTCAATTTTGAGCCGGTCAGGATCGAACTCCTGACAGTGGGCAGAATCAGCCTGCAATACTGCATTCTAACCACCACACCGCCAGGGCTCCTCCATAAGAACCTGCATAAAGGCATATTGGATACCTCAAAAGAGATTCTGGAGCATAAAGGAAGGAAAGGTATATCTTGCAGTGAAGAAGAATGCCCTTTTTGGAGAGGCTGGACCTTCTCAACCTGTCATCCTCATTTCAGTAATAGACCCCCTACTGACTTCTCTGTATCCATTACAGGATATCCAATGCAGGTCAAAACCTGTAGCCATAATCAACAGAGAATTAATATCTTCAGCCTGTTGTTAGTTAGCATTTTGATCCTATTAACCTTAAAAGAATGCTCCTCGCACAAAATTAATAGAGCAGCTGCAAGGTTGTTGGCAAGATATTTTTTTGAGAGGGGAGGACTAATTTACAGATATAAATCCATTAAAGAAAAGCACAAGATGGAGAGACATTGCTCTGTTTCTCTCAAACATGCATTTACCAAAAGAAAATATTTTTCCCCCTTTAGAAAAGCAACTATACCGTTACTCATATGCACATTTATGGAGATTCAATTAACTGGACAAGCAATTAAAGTTGAAAGAGTTCAACAGGATAAGGAAAAAAAAAACTTTTTTTAGGCATTTGGGTCACTTTTCTCCTAATGAGATATTTGTTTAGAAGTATATAAAATTAAATCTCAGAGTTTTCTCTTTTCGTTCTAAAAATACCCTCTTACACATAAATATGCAGTTCTTCTTTTGTTACTTCAAAGGAATTTACCTGAGAATGAGGAAAGTGAAGTTGAGGTTATAGGAAATTATGTTCCACTTTCCAAATAAAAACCTTGATAAATAAGAGAATTCCTGCTTTCCTTTAGCAGCAGCACCGCCTGCTGGCTGAATTGTGTTTCTGTTAGGCTAGTCAGCATCGGAAAGTTAACTGGGCAGAAAGACCAAATAAGTTTGCTTCAAATTCAGAAGAATTTTAAAAATTGCAATAATATCCCACACTACACAGTTGAATTCAAACAGGATCGTGCAACACAGAAATAAGAACAGAAGTCTAATCCTTCCTTTCAGAATAATAATATTTTTTTTTTAAATAGGGTTTTCTTGTTTAATATTCTTTAATGCAAGAATAGGCCCCTATGGCCTCCAAATATTGTTGGATTACAACTCCCATCATTCCCTGGGCAGTATGGCCACTGATCAGGGATAATAGTAGTTGTTCTCCATCAACATTTGGCTCCCTATTACTGTATGAAATTGTTATTAACTCTTCTCTTTTTCCAATAACCCTATACTTCATAATCCCTAATATTTATAAAGTCGTTAGAATTCATCCTTGTAAGTTATTATTTTTTATTTATCTGTTCCCAGTCTGGGTCATTTTATTAATTATTGTTTTTGTCATTGTGGTTATTATTGTATTAATATTATTAATAATGTTATTTTATTTTGAGTATTTTCCAAGTATTTATTGACCTGCCTCTCTCTCTCTTTTTCCCTCCAAATTTTCCTTTTTGTAATAAAAAAAGATATTTTTTTTTTTCAAACGATGGGGAAAATTACATTTGAAATAAAACTTCACAAAGGTCTAAATGAATGAGTCTTGTCTTTACTGTATGTGGAAAGAGAGAGTGTGGTTCAGTTATTAGAAATGTAATCAATACAATGGCACTGAAAGAAGTGACCTATGATCGTTTTTCACTTTTTTTTTGTTTGTTTGTTTGTTTTTAATTTATATGCCGCCCTTCTCCGGAGACTCAGGGCGGCTTACAATGCGTTAAGCAACAGCCTTCATACTTTTGTATATTTATACAAAGTCAGCTTATTGCCCCCATAAACTGGGTCCTCATTTCACCTACCTTTGAAAGGATGGAAGGCTGAGTCAACCTTGAGCCTGGTGAGATTTGAACTTGCAGTAATTGCAAGTAGCAGATGTTAATCTGTTAATAACAGTGCTTTAGTCCACTGTACTACAGGCTCTTAACACTTACGACCATTGCAGCATCCCAACAGTCACATCAGTGGTGGGTTGCCCCCGGTTCAGACTGGTTCTATAGAACCGGTAGTAAAACCGGCAGGAGGCTCCGCCCATCGACCCCGATGTCATCAGGACCCTTCTGCGTATGTGCAGAAGAGCACACGCATGCGGCCCTGTTGAGAACCGGTAGTAAAGGTAAGTAGAACCCACCCCTGGGTCACATGATCAAAATTCAGACACTTGACAACTGACTCATATTTATGACGGTTGCTGTATCCCAGGGTCATGTGATCTCCTTTTGCGACCCTCTGGCAAACAAATCCAATGAGGAGGTCAGATTCACTTAGCCACCATGCTACTTACTTAACAACTGCAGTGATTCACTTAATAATTGTCTTAGCAACTTAAATTTTGGGCTCAATTTGTGGTCATAAATTGAGCCTCCCTGCAGTCAATGGATAGAATAGCTGCAAATTCATGAGCACTTTTGGTCATTTGGTTTATTAAGTTACTGTGAATTCTTCTCATTCACATTCAGCAAAGTCTTTCAAGGGAGAATTTACAGTCACAAACCTTATCTGGCTTGGAGAGCTGCCAGGCTGATATCTTCAAAACTCGGCATGAAGTCTCTGAGAGTCATGAACCAATTAAGTGAACTGATTGTCTCCTGCAAACTCCACTCCTCTTTTGCTCCTCTTTATTCCCTATGGGAGGGGCCATTCACCGTCCATCTGTGGCTTTACTCCTGAGTCGACCCTTGTTCCTTAGCTGTTCCCTTCTCCTGACAGCTCTGCGCATGCGCACACTGGGAACAGGTTCCAGCTGTTCTTCTGCCCCCCTGATGTCTGACTTCGAAGGCAGCTGACAACTGTCAGACGGCCCTGGCCCCATCTCTGCCTCCGACGCAGAGCACTCATCAAAGCCTTCCCCGTATTCCAGGATTGGCCCATGTTCCTCCCCAATCTCCTCACTGTCTGAGTCTGCCACCAGCTCCGCTGGTGGGCCAATACCTACAACCTTTTTCTACCTGCCCTTAACATGGGCCTGCAATATCTCTCCCCTCCACCCCACCCCACCCCATTTCCCTGTGATGTTTCTTCATCTCCTCTCTAACCCGGTGAGACAGGCCTAATTCATCCTTAGCTAGAGCAGGGTTAAAAGTAGCACTTTCCCCTCTTATTTTGATTCTTCCTGATGGAAACCTGGAAGTGGGTAACATCTGTTAGGCATTCCCACCCATTATCTTGAAGTTGAGATTGCAATGAATGGGGATAGAGGCAACAGAGGCAGAAGCGAGATGTCCAGGTAAGTTAGCAAGTTCCATTGTTAGTACTGCATAGCATTTTGCCAGCTTAAGGATGGTTAGACACAGAGGTGGGCGGCACATGAATTAACAACCGGTTCGCCCCAGCACTGAACATGTGAGTGTACGCATGGCCTTCTGCGCATGCACTCTGCACGCGCGCTTGCATGCATGTGTGTGGCTTTAAAAAATGCAGCTAAATAGGACAGGATAGTGCCGGGCTACCGGTTCGCATGAACCTGTCCGAATCAGCTGAACCCCACCCCTAGTTAGACAACCCTTCAATTTAGCAATGAGGAAAGGCAGTAAGCTTCCACCACAGCCTTCACCAACTTGATATCCTCCATCTATAACCGTTACTCCAGCTAGCTTGGAATGTGCAGGTAGTCCTTGCCTTACGACAGTTCATTTAGTGACCATTCAAAGTTACACCAGTACTGAAAAAAGTGATTTATGCTCATTTTTCACACTTACAACCATTGCAGCATTCTCATGGCCATGGGATCAAAATTCAGATGCTTGGCAACTGACTCATATTCATGACGATTGCAATTTCCCGGCGACTTCTTGTGATTTTCTGACAAGCAAAGTCGATGATGAAACGAGATTCGCTTAACAATCATGCTACTAACTTAACAACTGCAATGATTCATTTAACAACTATGGCAAGAAATGTTTTAAAATCGTTCAAAACTCACTTCACAAAGGTCTCACTTAGCAACAGAAATTTTGGGCTCAGTTTGTGGTTGTAAGTCAAAAACTACCTGTACATGGGGTGTTGTCTAAAGTGGAGAACAATTGGTTTGACCAGATCCTGATTTGTTATGATCAGATAATAAAGACCAGGCTCATTTCTGGCATCCCTTGCCAGCCATTTGCCCTATGCACCATGTCCTTGATCCTTCCCCATTGACTGTGGCAACTTCGATGGACTGGCTATTCTCTTGGCTTGAGTGGGAAACTTGAGAAAGTATCTTGCAGGAACATTGCTGGGACACTGATGGGACTAACTTGTATTTTTCCAAACGGAATGGCAGAGAAACATCTCCATTCAAAGTTTTGGTTCCTCCTAAGTGGCCTGGAACATCCTTGGCAGCCATGGTAGGGGAAGCAGAAAGCTCAAGGATTTTCAATTTGCAAAGGCAATCAATCTTTCTACAATGAAAGACCTTTCTTTTGATCTGGAGAAACTTCAATCAAATGGACCAATTCCTAAACTAAATGCCAACTATGAACTATTTACTGCAATTTCAGGAAAGTGCTTTTCTGAAATAATACATACAAACTGAATTAGTTACATTCCTAAGAGGAAAATGAAGGGCAACATTAGATTTATATAATAAATGGACTACAGTAGAATATGTCAACAATAGAAAATAGAAGGAGCAGCAATATTTTTCAGTACAGAAAACTTGGCGTTATCTTTCTTATTAGCATTTTTAAACATGCATCCAGGAGTAGGATTTAAAATTTGGGTGGAGGGCATACGCACAGCAAACAGCAAAGAGGATACTAAATGGAACATTTTCCACAATTTTTTCAAGACGTAAAAGGCACATCAGGCAAATGTGTCCTCTTTCTCCCTGTATTTGTAATTGCTTTAAATGTTTTGGTGGGCGTGAGTTAGTGAAACAGATAAATATTTGGGATTAAAATTCAGGGAGAGGAACACAAGTTGAAATAATGTACTACTGACCATTACGCACTATCAGGGAATTGGTATAATGGTATGTGAGAATTACCTTGGTAGACAGGAAGAAGAGCTGCAGTCTAGACAGACATCTGATAAATATAATTTCAATTCAAAGAAAGGATAGGGGTAGAGAAAGCATCACAGAAGGGACTCTACCTAGACTTTGGGGTGTAAAACTAAAGGAGGGAAGAAATACTTTTAGATTGATATTCTGATACTGTAATTTACAAGAAAGTTAGTATTAGTACTCATGATTAGATCTTCTTGTCTGTACTATCTCAAAGGGTTGACAGCTGATGAGATCAAAGACTTATGTGAACTCTCTTGATTTAAAATCAATGAAAAGAAAACAAAAATAATAATAAGAATGTAACCTCAGAAGAAGACTATGGAAAAAGAATTGCAGTAATTTTGTGAAAAAATGTGAAATGACAAAAAAATCCAGTGAAATATTTGGATCTTTATTTAACAAGATGTAAAAAAAAAAAAAAGACATATTTCAGAATAATTATAATAAATCCAGAATAATTATAATAAATCCTTAAAACTAACAATGTCGGTTTCCTATAAGGAAAATATATTCAAAATGCTGTATAGATGGCACCTGCCTCCGGCTAGATTATCAAAGATGTTCCCGGGAACCTCTCCGGTTTGTTGGAAATGCAACGTCGCTATGGGAACTTATTGTCATAGCTGGTGGACCTGTCCACGAGCAAAAGAATATTGGGCTAGAATTTAAAAATGGATTTTAGAAATCATAGGATGTAGGATAGAATTGAACCTGGAAATGTTTTTACTAGGTATGAAACCAGAGAACTTAAACATATCTAATTGGTATCTCGCTCTCCACATCATCATTGCAGCCAGGATCTCGTTTGCGTAAGAATGGAAATCCAAAAAGATTCCATCGGAGGCTATGTTAACCGCAAAGATCATGGACTGTGCAGAAGCAGACAAGCTTACTGGACTTTTACGAGATAGACAAGAATCAGGGTTATATAGGAGTTGGGACAGGTGGTATGCTTGGCTGCAAAAAAAGAAATCTTAAGAAGAATGTAAAATATTAATCTTAGTGTGAATGTGGGTAAATATTTATAGGAGCATTGCATGGAGGTTGAGAATTCTTTCTTCTGGATAATCTTTTCTTTTTTTGATGATTTAGTTTAATGAAGGTTTGTACTATCTCTAGGTGAAAATTGATGCTTTAAAAGTCTATAGGTATTATATTACTGTCTGCAATGCTCTCCATATTGCTATAATTTTTTTCTGTAATTTTTAATAATTTTCAATAAAAAATTTATATATTAAAAAAAAGACATATTTCAGAATAATTATAATAAATCGTGGAAAGAGATTCTAAAGAAAGAGCTAGAAAGATGGGGGGGGGAAACTAAAACATGGTAATCTAGTACTTAAAATTTTGCAAGCTTCAAAAGATAGGGGTGGTTAAATTATATTATTATGCCAGCATAACAAATATAATGTATCTATCATGGATAAGATAATGGATTAAAATGTAGATTGTCAAATATAGAAGGAGCTAGCTTAGCCCATGGACTTCATATATACTTGTGGTATAAAGAAATAGAAGAAAATAATTTGAAAACACATAGTATAAAACAAGATTTGATAAAAAAAATATGGAATCTATTAAAATGAGAATAAGTCTGGCAACCTCGTTTTTAGCTTCACCATCAAATGTCTTTTTCTCCAGGGACGAATATTTAATTTAATACTTGATTTAATTTAAGATTTAATCACATACACCAATATGGTCCATCCAGGTTCTAGAAATAGGCTAAAACACATCAAGAACTGCTTAATGAAGGTAGGAATTTATTATGACTAATATACTTACAAAATGTTAGAAGATAATAAATGATCTCAAGAAAGGAGGAACTTTGAGAATGACAGAGTTTCAAAAACTTACACAAAATCAAGATCATCTATTAGGATACCCATATAAATTGTAATTGAAATATGACATGAAGATGTAACAAATAAAAATTGTATGATAAAGTGAATGCATATCATCAGTCACAGTACAACAATTAGAAGAGTCGGGGGCGGGGAAATTAATACAATTTACTCCAAGTTATAATTTAAGAGAAAATCAGTGTAAAATATTTTACAGATGGTACATAACCCTGTGAATAATTACCAAGATAGGCAAATCATATAACAATAAATGTTGGAAATGTCATAACAAAGAAGGATCACATGTAATGGCTATGTACAAAAAAACCCCACAAAACTATTAACAGTGAACTACATCAACATATTCAGAAAATCCTAAAACAAAATTTGTGCTGAAGCCACATTTATTCTTATTAAGCATAATTCCTGAAAATATAAATAAAAATATCACAATTTACTAAGATACATGTTGACAGTTAGGAGAACAAATCAGTTACAACATTGGAACAGGTGAGCTTTGCTGATGATATCAGATTGAGAAACCAAAATTGGAAAAAATGCGGGAATTGCAAAACTGATAATACCCAGTATATCTATAAAGCAGGGCAAATTTGGACGTTTAGAATATGTGTTTTAGGAAAAAAGATGAGACCAATCAAAGACTAATAGATGAAAGGATTTCAACGGATACCAGCAGGCGATCTTTAATATTTAATGTACAGTTTAAATATCTAGTTTGTGGTCAGCAGTTGAGGAAATAAATGGCTGAGAAGAGAAGAACATGTAACTAGAAAGTTTTTTTCATAATATTTATGATATAGATCTTCTTTCCCTTTGTATTTCATTAGATAATATAGTAAAAGTACTGTACCTTTTTTTTTAAAAAAAAGACTTTTTTTTTTTTTACCCAATCCCTAACCCTTTTGCTGCTCTGGGCCCTTTCCAGAGGGAATAGACCAGTGGGTCTCAACCTTCCTAATGCTGCGACCCTTTAATACAGTTCCTCATGTTGTGGTGGCCCCCAACCATAAAATTATTCCTAAAACCATTGAAGATATGTGTTTTCCAAAGGTCTTAGGCGACCCCTGTGAAAGGGTTGTTCGACCCCCAAAGGGGCCCCGACCCACAGGTTGAGAACCACTGGAATAGACCCTTTCCAGATGGGATACGCTATTTATGAGACCACACAGAAAACTGCCACCAATTTTGTTTTGACCTCTCCCATTGATCCTCTACTGGTGCATCGGTCCTTATAAATTGTATATGCCTACCCGGAAGCAAGGGATGTTTTTTAATCCATCTACAGGTACTTGTTGAATGGCTGTTCTTGAATCCCAGAATTTGATGTCCAACTGTTGTTCAGATGTTCAGCAATTGAACACTGCTGAAATTAGAAAGGGGCTGTACAACTATTGGGAGCAAGTAAATCTTAAAGAAAAGGGAAGATTTGGGGCACACGGTAGCCCAAGAATCCATAGAAATGAATATCTAAAGATAATGGATTCTTGGGCTAGAGTGTGCCCAAAATCTTCCTTTTTTATTTAAGATTTACTTGCTCCCAATGGTTATACTAAGAGCCAGTTAAGGACCCAGGCTAGAAACTGGGAGAATATGAGGTCTAGTCCCATTTTAGATACAAATCCAACTGAATAATAACAATAACAATAACAATAACAATAATAATAATAATAATAATAATAATAATAATAATTTTATTTCTATACCGCCCTTCTCCCGAAGGACTCAGGGCGGTGTACAGCCAATTTAAAAACACAAGACACAACAATGATTAAAAATTAAAATGACTTTGAGCCAGTCACTCTTGCTCAGCTCTAGGTTTGGTCCAGCAGTTAAATCATCAGACTAGAAACCAGGAGACTGTGAGTTCTCTTCATATCTATGTATGAAAGCCAGCTGGGTGACTTTGGGCCAGTCATTCTCTCAGACCATGATGTCAGGCCAGTTGGTCAATTCCTGGAGCAATCATGGATTAACACTTGGGTGATCATCCTCTCCCCCAAAAGTGGACCCATCCTCTGAAGAGGGGAACCCCCTCTTGCTCAGTCCTAGGAACAAGCCGAGGGGAAACACTTCCAAAAATCTTGCCAAGAAAGTTGCACGGGTTAGTCTAGAAGTCAGCACTGACTTGAAGGTTAAATAAAGAACCAACCAATCGGGTGAGTGGTGCATTGATTTGGATGGAACAGACCATCTCAGATAAGCTGTTCCTGTCAGGATGCAATATACCATTATTAATATCATTACTCTTATATATTGCTATTATACATTTATAATATACAATCATAGTATACAATTTTATATAATATGCTATTATTCATATATATTCTTCAATATAGCAGCCTTTCAGGAACTAACCATACAATGTTTCCCTAGTAATAACTCCCACAAGAGTGTAGGTGACATTCTTTCCTCCAAACCTTTAAAGGTAATGCTTGAATTAAGCATGAACCAGGCCCATTCTGGAATCAGGACCGCTCTCTTCTAAACCAAATTGTTAGGGTTTAAGTAAGGAATCTCCATCCCACCCACCCACCTCCAGTTAAATTCTCCGGGAAGGACAGACTTCTAGATTGACTCTGTTTTGATGGATTATTTAGGTGTACCAGTTACAGCTCAAAATTACAACTGGACAAGAGATAAAGGATTTAGTTCCTTGAGATCAGGTTTAAAATTAGAGCTAAATTCTCTGTTCCTAGAAACAGAAGTTCCATTGCTCAAGTGTTCTTTCTCAGCAGTGTAATTTACAAAGAGGAAGACAGAGATTTTTAAATGGTTCCTATTAAGACAATTGGAAATCACTCCTACTTGCCCATCTATGAGATCACACAAGATTCTCTCTGGAGAGCCTAAGCTGCTGTGGTGGGCTTCATACTTCTGATGCCCCTGCTTGATTTTCTTTTCTCTTAAGCAGAGAAATGAGGAGCAGCTGGAAACTTCCTCCTCCCTCCCCCACTTATGAAATGAAGCAGACTGACACTGATTAATTCCTTAATTTCTTTAATCAACCAGAAATTAATGACTCTTGCTCTTCCTTCATTCCCTACAGATGAGAAAATTGCATGATGCTAAAGCAGATGAGATTAACCAGACAGCTACAAATGGGTTTCGGGGGAGGGCAGGGATATTTGGGGGGGGGGCAGGAAAAGGGAGGGAGGCCAGAGAGCAGAAGCAATGCTGCATGACAAAATAGGGGGTGGGTGGGTGAAATTGCAGGGCAGAATATCTGATCCAAATGGCTAAGTCATTACTTGGAATAACTGGGGGAAGCTATACCTACTCTATTACTCAAACAACCATACTATGCACACACTATATCACAAAAGATACTTGAGCATCTTTTGATAGCAGAGTTTCATGTCCCAGGGGAGTAATTCTACAACACTGAAAGCTGAATTTTGGCACACAGGTTCTCCAAAGTGCTCCTACCAAATACTCCACAAACCAGTTGGGATGACAGAACAAGGTATGGAAGTGCCCCGTTGTGCTACTGAACCAACCTCCAAATAGGAGAAAGCAGAAGGCAGGTATGTGTGTGGTGGTGTAGATGAGCGTAAGAACTAAACAATGACTTTTCACATTCGTCTGAACTACTCCTGCATTATTAGAGAGGATCTCGAAAATATATACATATACTAGCCATCATACAGGCCAACTCATCCTGGACAGATGAGGGTTTTTCCACCAGAAGTTGAAATACACCAAATGGAAAAAAGTCTATCCAGGATCTACTTCCCCTGAGGCCTACTGTATCCATCAATGTAAGTGAATGCCCCAATAGCTAAGAAAGATTATCAAAAGAAAGCCGCTGGAATGAGTTGCAGGGGGCTTTGACCAAATTGCCTCTCAGAAACCACAAGAAAAATGGAGACTCTAAGAGTCTACAGCAGGCCTGGTGGTGATCTAACAGAATATTGCATTGTACAATTGGGAGGCAGGGTATGGGGAGAGATACTGGTAGCTCATGATCCTTTTTGATTTGGTAGGATATTTTTTCTATGATCTCCCTACATCTTTAGAAAGATCTCCCCCCAAAAATATGTATGACCTGATGAAGTTTCTAAGAGGACATTTAAAAATGAGAGTGGAAATGATAATAATATGGGCATTTTGATTCCAATCAATGCTTGGACGATAACTTAAACTTTCCTTTACAGGTAGTTGTTGGTGAGATTAATGACCTAATTAATGGTTACAGTGTAATGAGCTGTTTCATTAGTAATTTTCCATCATTCCTTGATGACTTGAAAAGCTTTTGGCCAACAGGCAAAGAGATAATATTACAGAGGATATGAACAGACCTTCCAATTTCTGGAGCATAAAAGTTAAGTGGCACTTTTCCAAGTGAGCCACCAGCTTTCACGAATCAGGCAACAGTTCTTCCAAAACTTAACTGGTCCGTAAGACAGCTCTCTTATTTTGGCAAAGCTTTCTGTAATTCAGTGCCTAAGATCAGTCACGAAGGTCAATCTCCAAAATCATTTGGTCTTTGCAGCTGAATTGCCTTGACCTGAGACACTCAACAATACCCATCACATCCCAAATCAATAAAGTTTCCTTTATGGTCTGCTATTGTTCTGACAGGGAGGTTAGATCCCTGGATCTGGCAATCTGCAGAACTCAAGAAAATTGTGAGTTCTAAACCCATGCATGTTTACCCATGAAAGCCAGCTGAGCAATTTTAGCCCAATCACCAGGAGATGGTGAATTCTAGTCCCACTTTGGCATGAATGTCGTCTGGGTGACTTTGGGTCAATCACTAGGCGACAGTGAGTTCTAGTCCCGCTTTAGGCATGAACACAGTGTGGATGATTTTGGGCCAATCACCAGATGAGTTCTAATCCCGTCTTAAACATGTAAAACCAGCTGGATGATTTTGGGCCAGTCTCTTTCTCGGCCAACTTACCCCACACGGTTGTCCTTCTGGGGGAAATAGTAAAGAATATTGTTATGTTTGCCACCTTGAGCTGTACTATATATGATAGAAACATAGGGTAAAAACCTTCTTTAAAATAGGTCCTCAATGATCAGCTATGAAAGTTACTGAGAGGTTCAACAGGGGAGAGAAGAAACATCATTAAACCTAGATGCGTGAGGGAGTGAATGTGAGAGGGAGAAGAGAAATGGTGGACAAGGGTCTCTTTTTCTACACAATCTCCTCTCCTCAGCAAGGTTCCCCATCATCCTCATCCTTGGTATCTCCAGTGTGACTCCTTGGAAGGCCAGAATATCCTCCTGAACACTCCTTTCGGCCCCCACTGAGAGCTAAGCGGCCGGGTGGGCTTGCAGAGAAGTCTAGGGATTCACTGACACTGAAGATGTATTTCTCCCATAGGAAACGCTCCAGGTCAGGATCCAGCGTTGGTGAGTTGGAACCCCGAATGCTCCCCGTTGACGCGGTGTATTTCTCAAAAATCTGCCGACGGTACTTGAACTCCAGAATAGTCTTGGTGTAAGTGTTGAGGGTCAGCACCGAGGCTGACATGCAGAGAGTGAAAGAGAGCCAGGCCAAGCTGTGGGGAGAACATCAGGAGAGGTAAGCAAAGGAGGAGAGAACATGACTTGAATCCTTTGGCCATTGGTACCCTGAGGTCTTCCTCAAATGTCCATCACCATTCCCAAACATTTATCCATTCGCTCAGACGCACTGCTTCATTCATCCACAAAGTTCCCTCATCTCCAGAATCTCAATATTAAGGCCAAGGTCAATGTCTCCTCTATTATAAATAAAAACAGAAGCTTCGGTCCATGAATTTTAAATATGCTTCGTTGCAGAGGTGTCTGAGACAGTCACGACAACAGTTGTCATTGGGCAATTAAAGTCCCATCCCTTTCTTGGCCTACATAAAAGCAACAAGGATTCAGTCATTCTATCATAGCTATCCTCTTGACTTTTTTGAAGCCTCTGCCCATGGATACCCACCTCTTGATGTTTTAGAATCATTCCTCTTTTCCACTGTCATCTTTTGCCAGTTTTACAAGTTAGAAAACCAGGCTTCTTGAGTTATTAGACAGCTTTCTCTAAAATATCTCTGGAGATTCAGGGTTTTTATATTTTGTTGTTCTTGTTCATTCAGATTTACCCTCTTTGTTTTACCCTCCACTATGCTATTGTCATCAAAAATGAGCAGACCATACATTTTGGTAGATCAGAATCTCGTGCTGTTTATCACAGGAATTTACGATCAGCCACCTCTTGGATCGTATAACCATTCTTGGACACTTCCAAATCTCTTCGTCCCCCCACCCTTTTTTTTTCTACTTTGATCAAATCCTCTCTTTTCTTCCATCCTGACCTGGTCCAAAGAATTACAAGACAAGGGGTACTTACGGGACCGCCTTCTGTCACCAATTGCCTCCCACCGCCCGGTTCGCTCCCACAGAGAGGGCCTCCTCAGGGTGCCGTCAGCCAGACAATGTCGGCTGGCGACCCCCAGGGGGAGAGCCTTCTCTGTGGTGGCACCTAGCCTCTGGACCGATCTACCCCCAGAGATATGAGTGATTCCAGACCTCCGGACTTTTCGTCGGGCCCTAAAAACTTACTTTTTTCAGCTAGCCGGGCTGGCCTGATTCCATGTTGGTTTTAACGTTTGATACTGATTTTTAATTGATATGTTTTAAATTATGGGCCAAATTTCATTAATTAGTTTTAATAATTATTTTAACTTTTGTGTACAAATGTTTTTATTTTGGCTGTTCACCGCCCTGAATCCGAAAGGAGAAGGGCGGTATACAAATTTAATAAATAAATAAAATAAATAAATAAAATAAGGTGGCAAACTCTAAAGGGGAAAAGATCCTCCTCAAAGCTGGCTACTCACCCAAAGGACCATCCATAATACCATGTCTGGGGCCTCCAATCTTTTGGCCCCAGGTTTACAGCTACCTGAAAGACAGTCATGTACATCATATGGGCCACCATGCCCAGGAGACCTGTGGAGAAGAAGAGGCCCAAAAGCCCATTCAGCCACAATTCCTCTGCACCCTGGAAATGTTGCAGGTAGCAATAAATAGCTTAAGTGGGCAAGCAGATATGCCCATATACATACACATGCAAAATCTAAGAGTAAGGCTCTCCCCAGTGCATTCAGGTTCTGGGTTGATTCAACAAAATCTAAAAGTAAGGTTCTCCCCAGTGCATTCTCTATAAAAGAATGGATGTGTAGAGTGGGGAAAGGAATGATGGGAATATGCAGGCAGTCTTAAACTTACAACCACAATTGGGACCTGAATTTCCATCACTAAGTAAGGCAATAGCAATAGTAATAGCATTTAGACTGATATACCGCTTCGTGGCATCTCTTACAGCCCTCTCTAAGCGGTTTACAGAGTCAGCATATTGCCTTCAACAATCTGGGTCCTCATTTTAGCAACCTTGGAAGGATGGAAAGCTGAGTCAACCTTGAGCCGGTGAGAATCGAACTCCTGGCAGTCAGCAGAGATAGCCTGCTAATATAGCATTCTAACCACTGCGCCACGGCGGCTCACGTTACAACAAGGCAATTGTTAAGTCAATTGCACCCAGTTTTATACACCCCCCCTTTTTCCCCACATTGAGCATTAATTAAGATTTCCTAATCAGCTTGGCCACATTGCTAAGAATTCTGGGAGTTGAAATCCACCCCTCTGAAAATGGCCAAGATTGGGAAATCTATATCAGCACTATTTCTCAGACATTTCTGTCTACACAGAATAAAGGGATGGACAGGGATGGGCAAGTAGCAATACCTGACAAAACAGTGATCACAGCTGCGAAAGCGTTGATCTTGAGGCCATCAATGAAGTTGGCATAGTAGATAGCATCTAAACACATGAGCAAGAATCCAATACTCAATAGGATGATATAAAGAAATTCGGAAGCGACAGACAGCCACAGCACTCCTGCAGGAAAAAGAAAAGGGTTATGGGGAAGAAAGAGGCCTTGTAGCTGCTTCGCTACCAGGAAAGAAGAGGATGGCAGTGGCTAAATTATTCTGTTACCCCGGAGACTGACTGAAGCTTTTCCACTGGCTCTGCTTATAAGATTCAAGAGCCCAGCTGGGATGGGCTGAAAAAAACGACAACAAAAAAGGCATTTGGAATGACTGAGTGCAGGGTGAGAAACCACAAGGCCTTTCTATCTCTTTGAGAAGGCAACACTTGATTATCTGAAAACTTTATCCCAGAAAAATAAGCTTTGCAGTACTTACGGAGTTGCTTCCCACTCATTTTGCACCTGTATGTGTTGGCCTATTTTGCCATCCAAATTCTCACCTTGTTCTGACTCTGGAGGCAGCTCAATGAAACTCCGACACTTCTCCTCTGGCGTGAGGGGAACAGTGAGAGAAGACAGTGACAGGTTAGCCACAGCTGCTGCTGTACGTGACAATGAATGCCAACATTTTGTGAAGCTCTCCCTCCCCTGCGCCCAGGAAAAGAGGATCTTTCGGTTTCTGCTGCTGACTAGTGGCAGGTAGATCTGAGTTGATCTCAGCAAGAAAGTGCACAAGGTTGAGAAGACAAAGAGATTATAGCAAGGCACCAAAGAAAGAGTGCCGTAGTCCGAATACCATTTTTCCTCATCTACAGTAACTTTCTCTAATCAAAAACCCTCTAAATACATTGGATTTTGACTCTCAGAATCCCTAGCCAGCAAAATCCAGCTGGAGGCTTAGGACGTTGGAGAGCATTTGGGTTAGGTAAGGGTTAAACCATGACTTTCAAAGTTGTTTTGAATTTTAAATAGAATAGAGTAGAATTCTTTATTGGCCAAGTGTGATTGGACACACAAGGAATTTGTCTTGGTGCATGCGCTCTCAGTGTACATAAAAGAAAAGACACATTCGTCAAGAATCATATGGTACAACACTTAATGATAGTCATAGGGAACAAATAAAGTTCTCAGTTTCTCTAGCTGCACTCTAAATTCTGATTCACAAGGTCTGGCAACCTTGTCCAGCCGCTGGCCCCTCTTATAATAATTGGGAGACTTTGGTACTAGGTACCTTTTCCATAATGCTGTGAAGGGAATGTTTTGGAATCTGTGCTGAGAAGTCAAGTTAGTGAACATGTCCATCTTCGGACATTTCTCAAAAAACAAAAAAACAAAAAAAACAACCGATGTTCTTTTCCGAAGAATTCTCCAATGAAAGTAAAATTTGGGTCTACTTCCTCCCTTAAAATTGAATTTGACTGGCTACAGGTAGTCCTCAACTTATGACCGGACATTTAGTGCTAGCCGAAGCAACTATGAACCTACCTTGGAGCTACTTGCAACCCAGATTTGAAGTTTTGATGATCCTCCCCAAATCAAATGACTGAACTTCAGACACTTGGCAACTGGGCTCCATTTACAGCCATTTGAGCATCCAGTGGTCACATGACTTCATTTTATGACAGTTATGCTTTTATTTCCAGTTTTTGGGAAAACCATGCCCCTTATGAGCTATTGGTTTGCTTTGTGATCAGTGCATTTGCTTAATGACCACTGCAAAAAAGGGCATAACATTAGGTAGGTCACGTGGTAATTTACGACCATGATGGTCCAGCTCCATTATAGTCGTAAGTTAAAGACTATCTCTACTGTGAGTGGTACTGAACAGTATTGCTTATACACAGCTAATTTTACCTCCTTTTAATCTACTAAGCATGTTTTCTGAGTTGTTACAATACACTGAACTATGAAACTGCCAGGTTTATTCAACATAAAAGGATTAAATATTACTGGCTAGTTGTGGTTCAGTGTGCTAGGCAAACAAAGGCCCTCTTTTCCAAACTGTACAGTTATTTTGTGTAAATTAAACAAAATTAGAGACAGCCTGTAATACTCTAGAGAAGTTGTTTCTGTACTGTCTGGGCCTGGGAGTTCCAAATAGGACTTTAGCAATAGCTAAATGGGAGCACCATTTTCCCATTTCTACTTCAAAATGATTTCGATCAAGGTGAGGAATGCCCTAGATTTTGAGGAAGTGAAATAGGACGATTCTTTGGACAGAGCCTTTCATGTCGTGCATCAAACTGCAACCTAAACTTCTAGGGCAACCTCTTCTTTTGGTTGTGTCCTCATATGAGATGGTGCAGTGCAGCGGTCCCCAACCTTTCTGGCTTGGCCGCCCAGTACAACGGGGGAGGAGAAGATGGTTCTGTGTGAGTGGCAGGTGCACACACGCACACAGCTCCATTTGCACACTTGCGCAAGGGCCAGCCGTTCACATGAGGGGAGCTTTTGCGCACGAGGGCAAGTGCCCACCGCTCAGTCGAGGGGAGCTTCATGCACACACATGTTCACCCGCTGCTTCTGCAGCCCGATTCTGAACGGGCCCCAGCCAGGTAGTGGGCCGCAGTCCAAGAGTTGATGTAATGGGCTGTGGGGATAACCTTGAGGAACAGGAGGAAGAGCTGCAGCCAAAGCAACAGTCAAATAAAAGAAATTTTGAGTCCAGAGCAAGAATGTAATTTGAGAAAGTACTTCACACTTGACCCTCGCTAGAATAGTATCAGGGAGAGGCTCATTCAGAGTTGCAAGATTCTATTATTGTACCTATAACAAAAGTAGTTTTTATATTCATGTCTTTAGCGTTCAAGTCTGATCCATCTCAAAGGCCTTGGACTCTTTTTTCCCTTAACACAACATAGGTTTTGCTGTGGTTCCAATCTTATACAAATCACTAACCATACTGTTCGAAGTACAGGTAGCCCTCCATAAATTGTTAAGCAACTATTCAAAGTTATGACAGGCTTCCCCAGAGCTACTTATGACTCAGTTTCAAAGTTCTGATGGCTGCACCCACATAACTTGTATTCACATGACCACATTTTGATGCTTGGCAACGAGCTCACTTTTGCAGTCTCCCGTAGTAACATGACTGTGATGGGTTTTTAACCAGTTTCTGGCATGTACTTTTAGTTTCTGGGAAAAGAAGCCCATTGGGGGGAAACAGATCTACTTAACAACTTCCACACTCACTTAATGTCTATGGTGTTCACTTAACAACCACTATAAAAAAGATGGTAGAATTGGGCATGGTCACTTGATGACCTGTTTAATGACCGTCATGGCCGTAATTCCAAGCTTGATTCGTAAGTCGTAAGTCAAGGACTGCCTGCACAAGCAGGTGATCGTTAAGGGTTGTAATCAGCTCAGCGCCTCAGTACAGGCAGGTCACCTTGTCTCCAGTCCGTGTTCCAAAACCTTTGTTCCAAAATCTTTCTAATTTAGACAATAGCAGCATCTGGTTCTTTCCACTTGGAAAGTTGGATCAGCCTGAATCGCGACCATCCAGAATTGGCGGCCAGGGTGTATCCATTAATCATTGACTTTAACTCGCCCCACATTAAAATAATGAGGGCAGACCCCCTTAAGGTCTCATTAGTGAGGCAGAATGGGGGGTTGGCAATTAAGAGAACCCCATTTACGCAGCATACGCTTCTCCAGGGCTCACAGACTTGCGGAAAGCACTTTAACACAGCTGTTTCGCCATGCTCTGAGATACAGGAGGGAGAGAGCAGGTGCCAAGATTTGCAAAAGTACAAAAAAAAAAAAAAAACCTCAGGTGGGGATGAAAATAACCCACCTCCAATTTTCACACAGAGGGCTGAGCAAGCCAAGGGTTTTGATGGCATCTTTCCCTGCTTTGTTCAAGAGAAGAAACCGTAGTGCTAGTGCCCACATTCTAACAATTCATTGAAAAAAATCCTGTGTTTAACCAAATAGTTTTTTTAAAAAAATTATCTGTTGTATTTATCTCGTCCTCCCTCCCAAAAAGCTCACAAGTCTTTCCCTTCCCACTTCCCATTTTATATTCCAACAATCCTCCAAAGTTATCAGATCAAGAAAGAATAATTGTGTAAGATAAAGTTGGCCCAAGGGCCTCGCCAGGGTTTCTGAGGATATGAATACTAAGATTTCACTTGCTACTGTGCCATTCCTTATTATCGTTGTTGGTTATACTACATCACACAGAATAGGTCAAATCTCAGTCACTAGTAATTTAGAAAGAGGATCCCAGACAAAAGTAAAGGAGAAAGAGATAGGAAGGTCTGGCTGGAGAAAAAACTCTTGTGCTCTTACTTATAAATTGGCCATATTAATCCCTTCTTATAAAACTCTACTTGTTAAGGTCCCTTGTGGCCCCTTGAGGTTCTCCTACAATATTGTCTACATTGTTTATCTAGCCAATTCCCCCCACCCCTCCGTTTCCTTCTTAGAAGCTGAAACCATGAAAACATTAAAGTCTAATCACAAATACAGTCATGGAATCAATTGCCCATGTGACCCTCTTTAATACCTCCATGATGTTCTTCACACGACAGCCAGAAACCCGTGTGGAAATACTGAAAAGCATACTTGTCTTCACCCGTCTCCCAAATGTACTGGACTTTGTGGGGATCCACCGTCTCATTTGTATCCATGGTCCCATTGCTGTTGTTGGGTGCGCAGTCCCCTTTCTTGACCACTGAAAGGCAGGGTGATTTCACCACTTTGTGGGTCCCTTCACACCAATAGCTGGTGCTGAAAGCCGACACAGAAAAGCAGAGGGCAAGACAGTTGAGGCCCAAAGAAAGCATTGAGCGAACTCTTCGGCTTAATTGAATCATCATTATAGTTTCCCCAGAGCTACAGGAAGAGACAAGGGTTGGTCCTTGAGATCAAACCCAATTGTTCAATGTCGCTCTAAGTGGTGGATCGATCAGACGTCTTCTGGATTTAGTGAATAATTCTGCACAAGAATCCGGTGGCAAATTGCTTCTCCAATTTTCATCATTCCCTCATCTTTATAAGCAAAGAATGGGCTGTGTCCAACCAAGCAATCGCCCTAAAGAAAAAGAAGCATGTCAGGAGTTAAATCTGGTTACTTGAGGATATATAAGGAACAGAAACCAAAGTTTTCTGAGGAACAAATGGGATCCAGGATCAGGAGGAAAAACACGGTTTGCGCTTACATTCCAAAGGATGTGTGCCAATGAGATTGAATGAACAAATAGATGGGTGCCATCAATCCTAGATGCTCCCTGATGACAGCTCCTCATGTGACTGAGCAAAAGATACCATGCAGCTAATCCTTCACGCCTTAATAGATTTCAGGGTGTGTATGTGTTTGTGGTAAAAAAGATGGGAAAGGTAATGGGGAAAAATGGGTTATAAATGGAAGGTGACAAAATTCTGCGCTCGGCCCTCAAAAAAGTCTGATAAAGCTTCTCTGTGTTATGACTCAAGGTTTGTGGATATTATCAGCAAGATAAATGGCTTGTGCTGAATATTTTAAAAAGATCTTTTTTTAAAAAAAAATCTTCCTTTTGACTAGCCTTTTCTTCCTTTTTACTCCCCTGTTAATAAGAACAAAACCTTTCAATCTGAATAAAAAGCAGAGACAATCCTAAACCCTTCCTAACGTTGAAAGACCATCAATGAATTTAAAGCAAATGCTAAAAGTCCTTTGGCATGCCACAGAATCCACACATCATTTAGGATGCTTTTCATCTCTTTTCTGTAACTAGCAAAGCCTCTTTTGAAGAGCTAAGGAAGCTTTCTCAATTATGGACATCTTTTTCCAACCTTCCATCATTACCATCTGCCACCCATATAGTTATGAAGGGGTTGATATAGGTTCAGGGAGTGAAAAAAATCTCCCTCTTAGGCTGCAGAGATCAGCTTACTGGATGGTGGCACTGTCTTACATTCCATACTACTAAATTTACATACTAAAATTTATCTTCGGCTATTACAAAAAGACCTAGAAACTTCCAGAGGCCTTACCTAACTCTAAAATGCTATCTTGGAGACCCCTGATCAGAAGCTAATACTCTTTAAGGTGAACAACTAGCCATGTCAATGAATCTCCCATCGCATTTTCCTTTTCTCTCTCTAGAGCAACAGCATGGGAACTAGGCAAAACATTAAGGTGGCCCCAGTTTTGGGAGGAACCCAAGACTCCAAAAAAACCCCAACTCATAAGATTTAGCTTCCTAGGCACTCCACAGTTTATTGTGCCTTAGAGTGGAAAAGCCAAACCTAGAATTCTAGGAATTCCTAATTATTTCAAACGCCTCCCCCCACTTTCTTAAATCTCCCCTAGTTTGCTTCCCAGCAGCTCTGTTGGGTCCATCAGGCTCGTTAAATCTGTTTAGAACTGGATCTTTGAGTGCAGCCTATCCAAAGCAAGTGACTTGCTTAGCCGCTGCACCCACAACGCTGCCTCTCCTTGGGACGAAACGCCTCACAAGATGCCTTGTTGATCCTGCTTTAAGAATTATTTCTCAGTCCTCTTCCTCTCCTGAAAGAAGAAATTGTCTTTCTGAAATCCATGGCAGCTCCTTTACAGTTCTCTCCCACAAACTCTTCTTCTTCTTTTAATTATTCATCACAATTACAAGCCACAAGCATGCAGCGGGCTGTGTCAAATCTTTGGAGTTCTGCCAGTTCAAACTGTTGCCCAGAAGGAATGTCAAAAATCCAGTGTTCGTGCTGAAGAATAATGGAAACAAATACAGGAAGAGAGGAAATCTGTATCTGAAGGAGTGGCACCCTTGTCAGAATGGTCCAGCAGTTCACAACCCAAAAAAGAAGCAATTTGAACCAAGTGGATCAGGCTCTTTATGGCTTGGGGGAGCCGAAAGACTGGATTGCGAAGAGTCCAAAATATCGCCCATTAACAACAGCTCACAATGCCACTTAAACTATATCAGCCACAAAAATCCCCATTTGAAGAAAATATTGGATGTTCAAAATCCAGGAAATGTCGATTCCCCTTCTTTAACAGATCCAAAAGAAGGTTGCTCAAGAAGTGATCTCAAACACAAGTATCATGGGTGTGATTCAAGATCCCTCGGTTGATAGATGGAGACTAATCCTGGAACATTTGACCAAATTGCTCCTGGACCATCACACCAACAGAGGAATGAAGGTCTATCCTCTTAAAAAAAGAAAGGAAGAAAGAAAGGAAAAGAAATTTAGCTGGTGCTAATAGACAAGATGCAAGGATCTTCAGCAGAGAGATAGATTCAAAGAGCAACTCCCAGGAGTTCACCCTGCACCTTGTAAAAAACGCTGCTCAGTTGCTGCTCAGTAGGAAGAATCTCTGTACACCGGCTGGGCTGACTGGAGAGGTGGCATAAGCAGGGTGATAAATGAGCAGGCAGTGAAGAGCTTCGGCACCCTCCAGTGCGACACAGTCCCTGGGGGATAGGAATCAGCAGAGAAGTGGAGCAGCAGCTGATTAAAAAAAAACAAAAAAACCCACATACACACAACTTCATTAGTGCCAAGGGGTACCAGTGCCAAGTTTGAGGGATTAGCATCTAATAAAGGAGAGAGGAGAGGAAGACAGCACATTACGGAGCCCGCTTTTTAATTCTGCGATCAATCAGCTGGCTCCTTGAAAAGGATGAAAAATTGGAAGCCGAGATGAGGGGGCAGCTGGGTCAAAGGTGACAGAGTGGTCTGAAAGAGAGAGAGAAGAGGGCAGGGAAAGAGAGAGGGATGGAGGAGAAGGATAGAGACCCGCAGATCAGGTCATGGTCATGGAAGACCGATCAGTAGAAAGGGTGGTCTGATGAACTGGGCTGATCAGTGACACAGAGGGATTATTATAATACTAGTGAAAGATTTCCACCAAACAGCATTTGGGGGGTTGAAAACATTATTGCAGTCTGATGTTTAGAGAACAAAGGATTACAGCAAATGTACACAAGCATTATTGCCTTTTGTATTTTTCCTTTTGGCTGCCCTTGTTCCCCATTTAAAATGTCAGCTCTTGTTTAGCAAGCATGAATACATAGGAAGGCTGGTCAATATAGAAAACGAATACTGAGATAGATAAGGGAATATTTGTCCCATAGCTCAGAGCTGGGCAGGATCGATCCTTACATAAACAAAAGTGAATAGATCGGCCAATATGTCAGTCTAAAAACTGATATGTATCATATTCTATGTGTATTTCACTGCCCAGACAGTTCTGCGCCTCCCTTATGAGATATTTAATCTTTATCTTTGGATCTTGGGTCTCTTGGGATTATCATCTGGCTGGCTATAAAGAGATTGCTTTTGTGTGTCCCATTTTCAATACGATCAACATGTTAGGAAATCAAAGCTGGCATAGACTTAAACACAGCAAAGTAATTAGAGCAGAGAAGATCTAATCGGGTGGGCTGGCAGCCAGAATGCTAGACTTCTAAAGAAGAAGAAGAAATAACAGTGATGCAAGCTAAGTGGAGGACAATTGGGAAATGGGAAATGTATAGGCATTGTAGGGTATAATGGGAATAGTCCATCTTAGGAAACACACACACCTGAAGGCTGCATTCAGTTCCTAAATATTTCTATAACCCTGCAAACTGCCTCTGACATCACTGCCAACCTTTGGTGGCATAGATTCTTGCTGTTTTGCACTCAGAAATATGCATACAAAAATAAGACAAGCTGTAAAATAGACTCAACACAATGTAGAAAACAAAGACAACCTACCCACTCCCCAAATTCCCTTACAAAATCCAAGTAAAGACAAAAGAGGACTGAGTTTGCTTTTGGTACTCCACAAAACGTTATTCCACATCTTTCATCAAAAACCTTCCCATTCCTGAATTCAGACTATAAGGGGATTAAAGGCATCTCAGCAATCTGTTTTCTAGTAGGCGTTTAGGGACTGGACACATCCCCCATGGCAGCCATGTTGTTCCTAGACAAATTTATTTACAGTAATACCTCAGTACTTAACTGCTTTGAAACTCATCAAATTTGGTACTCAATGCATTTGATGCAGAAATTTTGTCCCGGTACTCATTGTTTGTTTGGTACGACACACAAGCTAGAACTTGTCGGTGTTGGCTGCCTCATGATTCACTACCCTTTTCAGCTGAAAAAAAAGGGTGACATGTTAGTCATGTGGTTTGTTTGCTGCTTGTTGTTTTTAGTACTGGTCATACCTCCTGGGACCAATTAATGACGAGTACCAAGGTACCACTACATTTATTTATGTTAAATTTATTTTCCGCCTATCTCATCACGGGGCTACTCTAATGGTTTTTGCGCCTTCAGCCATTTGACGAAAATGCCAACAACACAACACACTTTCAAAATTCAGAGTATTCCATGAAATTTACTTTGTCAACCTCCTACAAGGAAAATATTTATAAAATGGTCTATCGTTGGCATGTCCCCCTGGCAAGAATCGCAAGAATATTCCTGGGAGTTTCTCCAGCATGCTGGAAGTGTGGGAATGGTTGTGGAATGTACTATCACCAATGGTGGATGTGCCCCAAAGCAGGCAAATATTGGTCCAAGTTCCGGAACTGGATAGTGGAAATTACAGGATATAACATAGAACTGAAACCAGAGATTTTTTTATTAGGAATGAAACCAGACAAAATAACTAAGGAAAAATGGTACTTGATCCTCAACATCACTACTGCAGCTAGGACATTACACGCACAAGAATGGAAAAACGAATTAATACCCACAGAAAATAAATTGATTTGGAAAATTACAGAATGTGCAGAGGCAGACCGGTTAACGAAATTACTTAGGAACCAAAAAGATTCTGATTATTCCAAATGTTGGAATTTATGGTATAATTGGGTGAAAGAAAAGAGAGGGAAATGAAATGGATTGTATTAGTGGTATAGGCGCAGATTTGTGTACGTTAATTGCAATAACCTTGTATGTATATATGTAAAATATTGTATTTTTAAAAATGAAAATAAACTTTGTTAAAAAAAAATAATTCAGAGTATACCACACTGACCCAAAACTGAGAGGGTGCAGGCTGATGTATCTCAGTATTTTAATAATAATAATAAAAATATCTAAGCACTTCATGTAATATGAAGCTTGTCCATCCCTTAAGTCTCCCTGAAACCAACTGAATTCAAGCTGCTGTACCGGAAGAGATTTATCTATGCCTTATCTCCTATAATTACAAACAGCCCCTGAGTTAAGAATGTCCGACTTAAGGACAACCTCTACATATAAACACGCTGCCTATTACTAAAAATGGCAGATGGAATTCTCCTTCCTTGAGTTGACAAACCATAAAAGCTTATGCAATGTGTTCAGGAATTGCTGAAGCTGCACATTTTTAGCACACAGCCTGTTTGAAGCCATTCCTGAAAGCATTGCTCAGCGTCAGCGGTTCATCGGTTCGAGGAAGGACAATGCCATCCGCCATTTTTAGTAATAGGCAGTCCATTTCATAAGCATGAGTTCGACTTACGTACAAATTCAGGTTAAAGCTGACTTAAGAGCAGAACTCATTCTTAACCTGGAATTCTCTATAACTAAAAATCTTTCATGATAGAAAACACACAATTTATAGTCTCACTGTAAGGAAATGTGATGGATTGTAGTCCAGGAGCAGAGATAATTCAGTTTAGATAGTTTGTGTGAGAGAAAGAAGATGAAGACAGCTCCTCTCTCATAATTTGTGGGTTTGCTTTAGTTTAACAAGATTCTGTCTATAGATGAGGATCAATTTTTTAAAAAATCTGCTTGGCAGAATCACAGTGTGTCTTTCTTGGTTTTTGGAGCCTGATAAAGAGCTCTTCCTAATATTTAATATAAGGGCCTTTCCTCGCCCTTGAGTTAAAGTATCTCTAACTATCCCTGGGCAGGCAGAAAACTATCAAAGTGAAAATAGTTATCTAATGGCTGATCCATATTTTGCTCCTGCAGCCTCAATAATGACTCATGATTGAATGATACTGACCTCATTTTGCCTGTGCAACCCATAGTAAGCAAAATGATTGGCTAATTCCTCCAGCTTTGCTACTTTACTATTCTGCATGTCTGAAACTACACTGAACGGAAAAATTTCCTAAGAGTGATGGCGCAGTGGTTAGAATGCAGTATTGCAGGCTAAGTTTGCCGACTGCCAGCAGTTCGATCATGACTCAGGCTTCCATCCTTTCAAGGTCAGTAAAATGAGGAGCCAGATTGTTGGAGGCAATATTCTGATTCTAAATATTCTGACTTTCTAAGCAGAGAGGGCTGTAAAGCACTATAAAGCAGTAGAGATGTCTAAGTTGCCTCCCTGAGTTGCAAGTGCTCTATCACTGGAGTTTTCAATAAAAGATTGGACAACCATTTTTCCAGAGTGGTTTAGGGTCTCCTACGCAAGCCGAGGGTTGGACTAGAAGACCTCCAAGGTCACTTCCAGCTCTATTGTTCTATATTCTGTATTCTTCACAGAGGTGATCAGCTGTGACTTTGGGAGTTGAGAGAAAAGATGCTTTTGAAAATGAACCATCCGGTGGGTAGAAATATCAGTGGAATCTTCCCCCTGGCATTTTCTCATACCACTTATGATTACTTTGTGAATTATGTGCAGAAGAATAATTCGGAACAAAACTTCTGGAACAAAATGGAGACTTTGGAGTAGAGTGAGGTTCTAGTTACAATTAGCATAATCCTCATGGCACTGTATATCCTGCATATCCAAATTCTGTGAATGACGTTAACCATTCTTGTTACTTGATGATAAATCACATAGGATACAAAATGTACCCAGTGTAAATCATTTTCAACTCACATTTTTTCTCTGTACGTTTTGGTTTTTTTCTTACGTGGCGGAACCACATTTTCTTTTATTGATATTGTTTTTAATATTTTTGCAAGCATAACAACAACCTAAAATATAAATATATTAATTAATTAGAGAATTGTATAGAAACATAGAATGGGTAACCAACTTTGCCAATATTTCAAGAAAATGCTCTGACCTTGAAAAAATAGATTTTTATATGCTGTATATATTTTTCAATAATGAAACTGACTTAGGTGCACTTTTGAATATTTTAATTGGCTCAGGTTGAATCATGAATGGATGTTATCCAAATACAATTACAGTACAAAAGATTTATTGGGTACAGGTTAGTGTAATAGCAAAATGTCAATTTCCTTTTGTTCTGTTATATGTATCATGAACCCTAACTATATACAGAAACTAGGTTACTAATAATTTTAAAAGAAAAATGTCTAATTCTAAAGATGATAAATATTTTAATATCACCTTTCAAGGTGAATTACAAAAAGAATGTACAGTTAAAATGTAGAAACATGTATTCAATACACAATTATCTCAGATACGTAGCAGTGCATTACCTACATTTATTGAGAAAAATCAGTGCTTTATAGATAGATTCTTGTCAATTGTTAAAATTCTGTGTTGAAATCATTCAAATTCTACAACCTATCTAAACATATGCAAATCAAACAGATTTACCCCACAATTTTCTTCTCTTAGGATTTATTTTTTATTTATCACAGAATCTGAAGACAGTATATATACCTGTATAGCAAGCACTGTTCTATTTGAAGAAGCATTTTCTTCCCGATGCTAGAACACAATATATTTTTGCTTGTCACAAACAGTGGATTTTATACTAGAAGTCTAGCTCTCAATCCACTTGATATCCACCGTCCTCTGGTGCTCATGTTCCCGTTTCAGTTCATTTTGCCAATTTACAGCACAGTACAATAAACTACACTCCATGAAAGCTTATAATATAAATGTGCAGAGGAA